TAGGTTAATGATCCCTAGAACATGCTCTCTGCACACAGGAAAAACAATAACTTGTGGACCTAGCTTGACCATGAGGGACAAGAAAACTCCTCTGCTCAATCTGGAAGAGCTGATGATGGAAGCATGACATCTACTCAAGAAAGACAAATAAGTTCTTCTCCCCCTCCCCACTTTTCCTTTGATTATAAAACTGTAGCCCAGTAAATTCTTGGGATGTGGCATCTCTCGCCTACCTGCTCGTAAGCCTCACAAGCATCCTATTCTAATAAATCACTTATCTATCACTTTGCCTCTTGTTGAATTCTTTTCTGCACTGAGACATAAATTGTGGTACGGAAGTTCTTTGGAGCCCCTGAAACAACGCCTGATGGTTTCAGAAGCACAACATTTACTAAGCACTTACTCTATGCTATACATTTTGCAAAGCACTTTAAGCATTATCTTGCCTAATCCTCCCATCGACCCACTCAACTCCTTTGATCAAGTTGCCAAATTCTCTAACCTCTAACTTCAGCATGTTTTTCATATCTATGTCTTTCTTTTTTTTTTAATTATTTTAAACTTTTAATTTTGTATCAGGGTATAGCCGATTAACAATGTTGTGAGAGTTTCATGCGGATAACAAAGGGATTCAGCCATTCATATACATGTGTCCAATCTTCCCCAAACTCCCCTCCCATCCAGGCTGCCACGTAACATTGAGCAGAGTTCCCTGTGCTTTATGATGGGTCCTTGTTGGTTATCCACTTTAAATATAGCAGTGTGTACATGTTGATCTCAAATTCCCTAGCTATCCCTTCTCCCAGTCCTTCTCCCTCAACCATAAGTTTGTTCTCTAAGTCTATGAGTCTGTTTCTGTTTTGTAAATAAGTTCATTTGTATCATATCTCTTTAGATTCTGCATGTAAGGGATCTCATAGGATGTTTTTGCATCTCTAACTTACTCCACTCAGCATGGCAATCTCTAGGTCCATCCAAGTTGCTGAAAATGGTATTATTCCATTCTTTTTGATGGGTGAGTAATATTCCATTGTACATATATACCACATCTTCTTTATCCATTCCTCTGTTGATGGACATTTAGATTGCTTCCATGCTTTGACTATTGTAAATAGTACTACAATGAACACCTATGTCTTTCTATTTATCCCACTGCCACCATCCTAGTCCAGTTCCTTTGTTAGCTCCTCCTTGACCTTTGCAAGAGTTTTTTAACTAGTCTCCTTGCTCATATCTCTCTGCTCTCACTTTTGGGCTTACCTCAACCTTATTTACTTTATTTTTTTTTAAAGATTTATGGACCATTTTTAAAAGTCTTTATTAAAATTGTAATAGTGCTTCTGTTTTATGTTTTGGCTTTTTAGCCACAAGGCAAGTGGGATCTTAGCTCCCTGATCAGGGATCAAACCCACACCCCTGCAACGGCAGGTGAAGTCTTAACCAATGGACCACCAGGGAAGCCCCAACCTTATTTGCTTTATATTCAAGTTAATCCACTATCTCTGCTAGAAACTGATTCTTCACTTAGTTTCCCATTTTCCAACTTTGATTTCTATTGTACCCCACACCTACTCCACCTTTCAGCCAAGTGGTTTACTTGCAATTCTCAGGATCTTTTCCTCCGACTCTTCTGATAGCACTCTCTCTCTCCATCTCTGCCCACTGAAATTCTACTGATTATTCCAGAAGCAGGTCAAGTGCCAACTGTTCAAATACGCTTTCTTCTTTTTCTGTAAAACTCTAGATTGCCACTCCTGCATTGCTTGCCACATGTTGACCCCATGTTATCATTTATATGTCATTATTTGTGGGCTTACCTTTCCTTCCAATCAGTATTTCTGAAGTACCTGTGACACATCAAGGGTATATACTAGGCATTTTATATGTGTTGTCCTATTTAATCCTTACAACAGCCTTGTGAGATACCTGCTCCCATCTTGATTTTAGAGATCAGGAATCTGAAGCTGTCAGAAGTTAATTAACTTGCTTGAAGTAGCATCCTCACCGAGTGGCAGACTCATCACCATCCATTTACCAAAGTTTATTTCAATCTGTGTCTGCCAGACTCCGAAGCCCTATGGGCTCTTCAACACAGAATGGGAAATCCCTTTGGGGGCAATTAGCACTGAAGCCTCAGGACAAGACAGATCTGGGAAAGGCAGTGTTCTCCTCTTCTCTCATTTGATTTAGATTCACTGTGCTCTAGGAAATGCTCTTTTGGTTCCCAGTTAGCACTGAGCCCAGGCGAGCACAGGGCTGGAAAATGATTCGTGAGGACAAACAGCACCCAGGTTGTTTAGTTCCAATGGTGACCCTGGTTATTTTAAAACTGTGAAAGGAACGCCAAGCCCCAGCACATGTATAGCAATCCAGAACTCCCAGCTCTCTACCTCCTCAGTTGACTTTACCCTCAACCTCTTTGTTCCCTGATTCAGTCCATATGGATGCCTCAGATTTCAGAAACAAGGCAGGAACAGCATTGCTGTCATTAGACTTGGCCTTGGCTGGTAAGAGTACTTGACTCACAAGAAATTCATATGAAGATTAAGAACAGGGAAGAGTTAGTCTACCCTGAATTGATTTTTCACCATTTAGGATTGGAAGCCCCCAAAACTTGCTCGGTCAGTTCATACTGTCAAGCAAAGAATATTATAACAATGGGTTCACTCTCTTCCTTATGGATTTGAAGTCAAGGGTGTTCAGCAACCACTGTTTGCTCAAGGAGAGTGTAAACAAGACTTGCTGACGCCCGTGGCCAATGAACAGGACTCCTAAACCACTTTCACTCCAGCATGGGCTGTGGATCTAATGGTAAAGAAGCTGAATGGAAAATGGGGTGAGGTAACTTGAATTTGTGTTTTAACTGTATTTTCTCTTTCAATCCTCAAAGCAATCTTTTTTGAGTTGGGCATTATTGAAATACCCATTCTACAGATTTAAAAACTGGGTAGTAAGTAACAGGCAGGAACTGGAACCTGCCTGTTGAGTATGTTGATCTCCATAGCTTTCCACTGCCCTCAATTTATGCTCTGTGGCAAGGCCTTTTGCTTAGGCAAATGTCAATCATTTTAAAAGGCAAAATTTGTACACAAATTAGAGCTCTCAAATATCAGTATTCTTCCCTCCCTAGGAAGCAAGATGATACAATGTGTTTAATTTCTTAAATGTCTCATATTTTCCAAAGATCTCAACAAGAAGTGGTAGTTGAACTGTAAGACTCTTACCTTCCATTCAGGGGACTCCAATGTTGGATTCTTAGGCAAGTGACTTTGCTTGATGGAACTGGTTATCTTGATTGGTTAGACCACAGACCACCAAGGCCAGTAAGCCACATTCACTGACAAAATCATCCTGTTCCCAGCCATCTTTAAAACAGGTCATGAAGTGGCTAAGTGAAAATATGGATGATCCAGGGCAGGACATTTCTGGGACTGACACAAGTTACCATTGGTGAATTTCCATTGGTAAATTTTGGAGTGACTGGAGTCACTCATTTACATTCATGAGTAAATATTCATGAGGTATATTTATTCACACACAAAAATCTCTTTTCCCACCCTCTCATTTCTTCATGATCGGTTGTATTGTAGATAGTCTAATGGTTAGAATGTTGTTATTTAGTCACTAAGTTGTGTCCAACTCTTTGCAACCCCATGGACTGTAGCCTACCAGACTCCTCTGCCCATAGCATTTCCCAGGCAAGAATACTGGAGTGGGTTGCCATTTCCTTCTCCAGGGGATCTCCCTGACCCAGGGATTGAACCTGTGTCTCCTTCTTGGCAGGCAGATTCTTTACCACTGAGCTACTCTGGAAGCCAAATGGTTAGAATACCTTCATAATAATACATTTCCATATGGGATGGGGTTGTTTTTACTAATCAGTAGTTAATACTGACAACTTATAAATATTTCAACCTCTCAAAACCTTAGCCAAGTATGACACTTCAAATTAATTATACAGGGCTAGACTCTTGATGTATTATGAAGGTTTTCACATTTCACATAGATAACAGTAATTTTTATTTTGCTTCTCCCCGTGCCTTTCATGTAATTCTTAAAAATGTTATTGCTGCCTCCGCCATATGGTTAAAAAAAGTTACTCAAAACACAACAAATTACTGTTATTTCTATACTATAGAAACTACTGAGTTTCATTACCCCTTCATACCTTTCTGTATCCCTTCAAAAGAATGTTGAAAGGCATTTTTGGTTGGAAGACATTCACTACTTATTCTCTGAATTATGTTCGCAACATTTTAGAAACACTTGAAAAAGACTTGTGACATATGTTAGCAAAAGTCCAGAGAAAGAAAGTAGAGATTGGCAGGAAGCAAGATATTAAGGAAATCAACAGTCTGACCAAAGGTGGGTCATGTACTGTCAGATACACTTAAGAAAGCATACTGGGGGAGGCAAGCTATAAACAGGATCCAGATTTAGCAGCCCACAAGGTAACCAGATGTTGACTACCAAGGGGACAGAGGTAATGGGATCCTCCATTCCCTCTCGCAGACCTCCCACCTTTACACGCCTTCCTTGAAGCCATGATACGATCACAAGTATTCCCACCTCCATCCATTACTTTCCTCTAGCCTTCCAAACTCCTTTCTTACCCCAATTCTCTCCTTTTCCACTTTCTATTTTGCCCCTCTGTACATAATCTTTTGTTTTCAACCACTTTTAAGTAATCTCATTTCAGCTGGGAAACAACTCATGTCTTCTTCCCTCGTTCCGAGCCCAGGGACTCGACTCCCTCCTGAGCTCCTTGGAGCTGGGACCTTTCCCGAGCTCAGCAGTCCAAGCTGTGAGGGTGATCTGTGAGTCCGCCAACGGGGTGGCCCCTCCATGACGCCAGGCTGCTCCTCTTCCTTTCTCCCCCTAACCCCAAAGAACCTAAACTCCGTGCCCTCTGAAACTGTCTGTGCCTAAGTCCCCAAGATCTCCGCCGGGATCCAAGGTTTTTTTTTACCTAAGTGGGGTCGGGTCGGGGAGGACAGTACCTCTTTGCAGGCGTGAAGCTCCGGTCCCGCTCCCTCAGTCACCTGGAAGGCGGTCCCAACCCAGAGCAGCAGCGGCAGAAGCCGGAGTGTGCGCGGCTCAGGTCTTCCCCTGCCTCTGGCAGAGGGATGGAGGCTGTGGCCAGGCTCAGCCATAGTGTTGTTCCGAGCGAGCGGCAGCAGCGGCTCAGGTGCTGCGGCTGCAGCTACTGCTGGCAGAAGGCGGAAAAAAGGGGAGGGAGATTTACAGGGGGCAGGATGTAAGGGGCTGGGCTCGCTTCAGTCACCTCCCTGCGGCTACGCCAAGGCCGCCCATCCTTCCTCCTCCCTCCTTTCTCTTATCCTCCTCCTACCCACGTCGCCTTGGCAACCGCCTCCTCTTTCCCTTCGCGCGGGTGGGGCAGGGACCACGCGCTCCTCTGCCGCTCACCTGCCGGTCGCCATGGCAGCCGCCGCCGCTAGCCCGCGCCGCGCAGAAATACACGCGCCCAGCTTCTGCAACCGGCCCAGCAGGCGCGCACAAGGCTCGTGCAAAGAACGCGATGGAAACAACCTCCAAGCCATCACCACCAAATTCATTATTTCGGGCCATCGGCTACTTATGAGCATCACTAATTTTGCAGACGTGGCGTTCTGCATACACTTATTAAGCATCTTGGTAAAAGCGACAGAAAAATAACCGCGATGATGTCTCTCCTCCAGGGATTATAGCCTGGAAGACTGGCCCGGGTAGGTGTTACCTACTGTTAACAGCTGCTTCTGGGGGTCTTACTTCCACCACGCCAAACCCATTTGTGAATTTACAACCAGTCCTGTGCGAAGCCCTAGGACTCATAGTCAAGCCGAGTTTAAGCAAGGAGAGTTTGCCTTAGCTGGGCAATTTTCCAAACACACCTGGACTCCTCTGTCTTTTGATATCCCCATTCTGTCATCGCTCTGAGAAATCCTCTCGTAAGATTCCAAGGAGAAGGACATTTCAGGGCTGGCTATCTTTTACGAATTCTTTCCTAAACTGAAGTCTTTTGCAGAAGATCTGTAAGATGGGAGGCCGGCGTTTTTCACCGACGGCTCACGAGTGCAAATCCAGGGCTCCCAAGCACACTCGGTGGCTCTTTCGCCTCTGTGTTCCCAGTAGCTTCTTCCCAACGGGCCTCCTGCGTTAGACCGCCAGGTGGCGCCCTTCTCAGAGGGAATTCGCCTTAGTCACAGAAGGCCGAGCAGTTGCCTGGCAACTGAAATTGACGTTCCAAACAATTGGGATCCGGGCTCCTCCGCGTGCTAGGTTGTGTGCGGCTGCGCGGGTCTCTCATCCCTCTTAAGAGCGCCTCGCTCGGTGTTTTACCATGCCTCTCACCCGAGACCCTTTCCAGAACCCAGCGTTGGATAATGATTCCTACTTGGGAAAGTCGCGGGCTTCCAAGGTACTGAGGTTTCTTACGCAGGTACCCAGTAGGGTCGACGTCACTCTTCTGTCGGCCTGACCTGAAGAAGTGGTAACTTAACCCTGGTGAGGACACTGAGTCAGGTACGGGAGAGGTCTGTTTTCTGCCTGCCTCCATGATCCCATATTCAGGTCTCCCCACCTTTCACAGGTGCTTTTGAGCAGAGGGAAGTGGCGCTCTAGTCCAGAGGAACAAGGGGGCACTTGCGGACCTAAGCAATGAATAGTATGACGGGGCTTGCACAGGCCCAGATTCCACCAAGCAACGCTTTGCCCTATTTAGGAAGCTCTTCTATGAAGAGACGTGAGGTATACAGAGTGGGAAAGAAGTATCAAACACCAGGTCATGCTTTATACATCTGTCTTTGATTCATGTTGGAATGTGTTTGCGTATGTGTGTGTTTCATAATGGTCCAGGAGGAGTAATGGACCCTAAACCAGTGATGCAGGGGGTGGTGGTAAGATGCAAAGGGCAGGACTGATGGGGCTTTGTGGCTGACTGGATATGGGCCCAAGAGAGTGGCCAGTCTAGGAGGGCTCCTAGGTTTCTGAGGGCTTCAGTTCAGTTCAGTCGCTTAGTCGTGTCCAACTCTTTGCGACCCCATGAATCACAGCACGCCAGGTTTCCCTGTCGATCACCAACTCCCAGAGTTCACCCAAACTCATGTGTATCAAGTCGGTGATGCCATCCAGCCATCTCATCCTCTGTCGTCCCCTTCTCCTGCTGCCCCCAGTCCCTCCCAGCATCAGGGTCTTTTCCAATGAGTCAACTCTTCGCATGAGGTAGCCAAAGTTCTGGAGTTTCAGCCTCAGCATCAATCCTTCCAATGAACACCCAGAACTGATCTCCTTTAGGATGGACTGGTTGGATCTCATTGCAGTCCAAGGGACTCTCAAGAGTCTGAGGGCTTAGCTGATACCATTTACTGAATGAGGTGTCCAGGAAAAGGTTTGGGGAGAATGACATTGAGATCAATGATATAGCTGTTGTTTTCTGGTGCCTGTGGGACACTCTGTGGAGATGAAGAATAGACAACATGGTTAGGGCTGTGGGCTGATGATGTGTGGAAGCCACAGTATTCATAGAGTGGTACTTGAAGCCATAGGAGGGAATGAGCTCATCCAGTGAATGTGAGAGTCAGAAAGGCAGCAATGAAACCCCTGGAGAATCCCACTCAGGGGCAGAGAGAGAAAACAGAGCTGAGAAGGAAGCTGAGAAATAATAGGCAGATGCAGGAGGAAAACCAGGAGGAGCTAGACCCATGCAGGCTGGAGAGAACATTTTGTGGAATCAAGAGTTGTGGCGCCAGGAACCACTGAGGTCAAATAAGATCAGGTCTAGAAATGATCCACTTGACCTATCCACAAAGGTCATTAGCACAAGTAGTTTAAGTGGATGCTTGAGGCAGAGGTCAGATTGTATTGGGATGGAAAGGGGACGGAAAGGGGGTGGGAGAGGAAGTGGAGAGTAGCATGTGTTGACTCTGAAAGAAGGCTGGCTCGGTAGGAACATTGTGGAGTGGTAGCCAGACAGTGACAAAAGGATGAGGAAAAGCTGGACACAGGTGCCAGGATAGCACAGGTCCCTAAAGTACCAGGAAGGGCTGGGTTCAGGAAGGGTTATTCTTGAATAAAAGGGACTTCCCTTTCTCTGAAATGGAAAGAAACTGGATAGTGAAGATGGCAACTCATGCTTGACAGGCTTGACGTTCTCAGTGAAAGACCATCTCACCCTTCTGCTTATAGGGATGAGGCTTATGCAGCCTTGGAGGACTGGAAGAGCTACCTGTCGTTGCGTCATATGTCATATTCCCATCTCCTTTTCATCTTTCTTGGTGATGGCATAGTGCCTGGTCCACCATTCAATTAATGCCTGATTGAACTGAGTCATGCAGCACTGTGTCATATACTGGGGATGAAGGTTCCAACATCAGATGAATGAGATTTCTACTAGGTTGTAGTTGTACTCATTGGAATTCAATTAACATCTCATTTTAGAACACCATGTTTTAGGTCACTGTGCTGTATACTGGGGACACAGTGGTGAGCAATATGGCATTTTACATGTAATGTAGAAATCAGCTATGTGATTTTCATATTCATACTTGCGGGGTTTTAATGAGAGAACCAAACATTCAATGAACTTTTTGACATTCCTGCAGAAACAATGACCCTTCCTTGCTTACCAAAACTTTTTTTCTCACCTGTCTAGACTGTTCTCTCCTGATTCTCCTCTCCCAATTCTCTTGTCTCTGACTGCCCCCAGCCAGCCCCATTATAATATTGTGCAGTCAGTCCTCATGAACCACCTCTTCCTTTTTGGTCAGATTCTTTTTGGGAGGCTTCAGCTGTTACTCCAACAACTGCATATTGAGTTAGAATATCTTACCTCTTCCTCAAACTCGGGACTTCTGAACCTGAGCTCATTTTGCCTGTCTGCTCCCCATCCTTCACTTCATGTCCCATTTCACCCCCTTCCCTGTCTTCCTGGCCCATTTCTGTCAGTTCAAAGAGAAAACTTAGGAGAGTCAAAAGGCTGGGAGGCTTGCCCCATATCATCCTTCTCATTTAGATGTCTCGATTCAATTAAAATGGAATGGCAGGAGGGGATGAATGTCACTGATGCTACCACATCAGCAAGGCCTTCGGTAACCAAGTGTGGGTGTGGTTTCTCTTTTGCAGAAACTGCCGTGTAAGAACCCAACTCACCTTGCTCAGCAGCAAGAACCCTGGTGTCGACTCAGCTCAACTCCCACAATTGCCTCCATGAAACGGGATGTTTTGTTTTTTTATTCAGAGGTACCTAGCATTGAAATGCTATTTCTCATTATATCCACTTAGGATTAATGACTATCCTTTTTGAAAGGCAGTCTGTCCCTGACTGCTTTAGCAGCTTTATCTTGCCCCCAATCCAAGATCCTATCAAATCTAAAACCAAATACCAACTTTATCAGGGCTATGGGAAGGCAAAAGGCTTGAGTTTTGCTGCAGTTAATTATTTGGAGCAAATCATTCTCTCATTAGACTTTTCATTATAACCATGAATGGGCTCAAGGCCCATTAAGCTCAAGTGGTTCCCCAGGAGGGCTTCCCACTCCTTAGACTTAACCACGAAACAATTCTATATGGACAAGATTTAAGAAGTCATCATGTACAGTAATTTGGTGTATAAAGAGCTGGTGGGTCTCAGGCCCAAAAAGGGTTCACTCTGCTTTGGAAGAAGAGTAGAGCCCAACAGAACCCAACTAGAATGGGTGCACAGGTAGCAAGTTAACCCTGAGGGGGTTGGCCTCCTCTGTAGATACCGAAGGATGACCTGGATTTCCGCTTAGCAGCCTTGTACAACCACCACACAGGGACATTCAAGAACAAAAGTGAGATACTCACACACCAGGAGACCATCCAGGATACCCGCAGGTAAGTGGTGGAGGCAGAGCCTCGCCCTAAGAACAATGCCATCCAATCAAGTAAGGTAAACTGTCACCTGGGAAATAATCAATAGGCTCCTGTTTGTATAGATTTTTGCATTTTTTTTTACTTCTGTATCTGTAATACAATTTCTGTGGGTTTTTTTTTTTTTTTCTAAAAGATCTTCCAAAATTGGGCTCATCCATATAATAAAACATTTGGTTAATTCAAGAGCCCAGAAAGGGCTTTTGGTTGCTATATTTTTGAGGTTGCATGCAACTCCTTCCCTCCTTACCTTCTTCTCTTGATTTCATTCTCTCCTGTTCTTCCCACATCATCTTCCAGAATCAAGACCCAATTCCCTGGAGAATTTTTACCCGCTCCCCAACCACCCCCCATCACTTCCAGAGCTAACATCAGACATTGGATCAACCCTAAGAAGGAGTCTATTCACAGCATACAGGGATCCATAGGTAAGGGTTAGAAGACTGAGGAATGGGAGGAAGATGGGTGGTGCAAGAGTTTTTCTAAATGGACACAGGAATCAGGGAGTTGAGGTGGCTGGCTATTAGGGAACATGAGGGATAACTGAGTCTGGTACATACTAGGCTAATGCCAGCGGACAGGACTGTAGAGCTAGGAAATGAATTCAGTTTCAGAGCCTCTGCTTCAGCCTTAGGTCTAATAGACAAGAATTTTCAGCAAAGGACAGAAACCTGGGGAAAGACCTATAGTTACCTCCTATCAGTCTTCTGGGCTTCCCCAGCTGTTAGAACCTTCTCCATGGTCCCCGTGAAAGTATGGGTGACAAATTCCCAGAAAAGGCAACAGATCTTAAATTCACGGCCCATCCCTTCTTCTTTTATCCACAGTGTCCCCTCACACTGCAGCCACCAATGGAGGGTACTCCCGAAAGAATGATGGTGGCTTCTTCTCCACCTAAGTGTTGACAGGCCCCTGGACTAATTAATCATTGTGGAACATCCCGCCGACCACCTCCATTAAATAGATTTGTGTAAGTTGAAGCCTGGAGTATGTGTTACCCGCAGACTACAAGTTGCCACTTGACTACTCTTAAAATATGGAAGTTTCTCAACTTCTAGAAACTAATCCTATTGGGCAATATTTGCAATTCGGTCATCTTGCTGAAACAATAAGGATTTAGGACAGAACAGCACTGTTTTTGGCAGGAGACAGGTATTCACATTTTGTAAACTGGAGTCATTCAAACCATACAGATATATAGCCATTCAACCTTTCTTGAAAACTTTTCATGTGTCAGGTGCTAATT